GTTCATTTTCACTTCTATACAGATTTAGCTAGTGGGAAAAAAAGAAAGGGGATAAAAGAAGAACGTCAATGTGGAAAAAGTATAGCAGACACATACCTGTAGAGGAAAAATTAAGAGTAAAATTGAATAAGGGTCTTGGCCATTTGTGCTGTCAGAGGTTAAAAGATCAACTCAAGTTGTACTTTGAAGGGAATTTTCTAAACTCATTGACAAACACATTCAGTCTTTAGCACACATGCAAGGGCCCACATAAAAACATATGCACTGTTATACGGTAGCTACTGTGTAAAGCTACACAAAATAGATCCATATAGACACTCAGAAAGCCAGTCTTGATTAATTCATATCAAAGGTGAGACACACACACATGCACAGACGCATTGAATGCCACAGACAAACCGCACACAGATTGAAAGATTGGTGCCAGAACAGAGGAGTCAGAGGAAACTGTAAGCGAGGCTGGAGGGTGGAGCTTCAAGTGTGTCGGATGAGGCTGAATTTGAGATCGTCAGTGGCATGCCCTCATCACAGCTGGTCAGATTGAAATAGACGAGACCGTAACCAAGCCAAGAAAAAAGCAGGAGCATCGCCTCCCCTCGCAGATGAACAAACTACCTCTCCTATTCTCTGTCCCTATGTGTCTGAGAAGCCTAGTGTTTCAGACATTACAGAGGATACCAGTGTGTAGTGAGACATTTTCATAAATCGGAAAAGAATGGCCTCAAGATGAATTGTTTCTACTAAAGACATTACTCAGACAGTGATATCTGATGTCCAGCATTCTAATACACAGATAGGGTCACAAGGACACTTTGAACATTTCAGAACAGAAATCTTCTCAAAAATGGCCAAAAAGAAATAATTCCTGTTACTACCTATAATGTATAATGTATAATGCTTATATTTTTGAAGGTTGTAATCAGGACAGTGAACGTGTCAGAATGTAAAACCAACAATAAATGACCAAAAGATCATAAAAGAAATAACAAATCTGAGAAAAGTCATTTCCCCAACATCAAGTTCATACCCTTGTTTCTCTTTTGACTTAGAAATTCACAACATTATAATTAGTTGTGTTATATGTGAATTACTACACTAGACTGGTCCTGTATATAGTAGTCATGTACTTTACATTGTAGGAGACCAAGTCTTAACACCAGATGAATTCATGAATTCAAATTGTACATAAAATATTAAATACTTTTTCCTTTGGGATGGTAGTAACCAGGCTTAATCCTTTACAAAATTTGGCATAATTGACAAAAAGCTAAAGTTATGTGTATGTCTCTGCATATTCATGTATGTGTGTGCACGTTACACATATGCATACTTGATCAGTTTTCCTTCTTTTGCCCTTCTTTGTGCTATAGTTACCTCAAATACATACTGTGTTTATTTCTTTTTGTAACTCGTTGAACGGTCAAGCTTAGTTTGTGTCGTGTTCTAGTTGTCTCCTTTTCTTTGTTTTTTTTTGTTTTTTTTTACTTAAAACAACTCTTATTTTACCTAAGAACCCGTCGAACTTATATCTGTATGTTTCAAAACTCAATAAAAAAAAACGTGGTACATGGTGTGCAGTCTTAAACTTGAGACATGAGCAATAACGATGCAAATGCAAAAAAATAAAAAAGGCCTGAATACAATTGTGTAGGTTTAAAAAAGAAAAAGTCTAAAATAGTTATAAACAGAAAGTAAAAAACAGAAAGTGCATGACATTTCTACAGAGGAAACGTCCTGCTGCTGAGTGAGACACATCCATCTCTGAACTACAATATTTTTCTAATAATCACACGATCAAAAAATTATGATAAAACAATGACATGACACTTAATAAATCTCACTTAATAAATGACACATAAGCCAGCGTGTGTGAATGTGTCTATTATACATGCTGTAGAGATGTCCTTTAGTAAGATACAGTATGTAGGACCTAAACACACAACATTAGTCCCTTACAGTATGCTTGTTATTAATATGTCATGAATACTAAAAAAAACTGAAATTAATGAATACACCATCACATATTTAATAGGTTATTTAATTGGCACAAAATTGAACTTACCGTCTGTTAATGTAAGACTCACTTCTGCTGGTGTCCTGTGCTGTAAGCTTAGTATCCCTCAAAAACAAATGGAGGAACAAATCAGCAAAGTATGTCAGACATGCAATAACAATAAAAACCAGTCCCCACAGGGTTTTTTTTATGTGGACAAAATTACATTTCTCAATTTAAGCCCATTTTGCACGAGGCTACTCCCCGTCTGCCTCTTTGAAATTGGACTAGACTTTTTCAGGTGCAAGAGACAAAAAAGTCAACATTTTTTTTTTATCTGCACAGGACATTTGCCTGTAATCTTTCCTGTTCCCAGACCCTCCTCCAGCTGCCTGTACCTGTCATCTCCCCCCCAAACCACTACGTGCATAAAACCATCTCCCCATCCCTATCCATCTCTCCCCCTGTCTGTCTTTTCCTCGCTCTCTCCCATCCCCCTCTTCCTCCTCTCATCCAACACTCCGTAAAGCAGGAAAAGCCTGGTCTTCCTGAAAACAAGCCACAGAGCGTGGAAAGGCACAAGGCTGGGGGGGGGGGCGAGTATATGTGAGGAGGGAGCAGAGGATGTTTTTGTCGTTCTTCAGCCCCTCTGGTTGCTGTAGACCTCACTGTCGTCCATCCTGAGGAAGCTGGGCTCACGTCATTCTGTTAAGGCCTTGGGCCCACACGTGCTGCCTGTGAGGGTGGGTATGACGCAGTCACTACAATGCTCCAGCACATGGGAGCTATAAACACATCTGTTGATTGAAAGAGATGAAAGCGTAACATCATTAGCAGGACGTTAAGTTGAAACAAAATCCCACATAGTTACACAAGAGGGGTCAAACGTAAAGAGAACTGTGGAGGGTTGTGTCTACAACTCTGACAGCTAACTACGTCTTATTTCTGTTTAGTGATATTACAGAACAGCAAACCATCTGCAAAGTGTGAGAATTCCTCCGCAGGTGGTTTTTCAGAAACTCCTATCAATGGTTCACAACAAGTCAAAAAAAAGTAAACATAATGCTGCTGTCTGAAGTTTCATCGTGAAACCCTGTTGAGCTTCAGGTTTCACAATGACTCAGCCTTGCTCCATCTCCTACAGTAACTGTATGCTGTGTTTGTAGGATGTATTTCAACCAGATGTTCTACAGTGTAGCCTATGTCGAGCCAAGTGAGTTTTAGTTATTTAGCTCATGTAAAGAGTACCGTACTCCTCAAGGAGTGACCTGTGCAGCATAAGTCATCCTCTATACTTAGACCTCTGAGTTAATTGGGATAATGACAAAGTGCCCTCTTAAAAAGCCTCTGACAGGAGAAGAAAAGGAAGACAATTTGGGGTCCCTTTTTACAAAAACATAGACATACAATATATGCAGTGTGTGAAGTACAAACAAGACTTCAATTCAAAAGGCAACTGAAAATGAAACTAAAAATCCATCTGTTTAAAATCCCTAATGCATTAAATTAAAGCAGACTGGAGGAGATGACACCGGTGAGAATCTGGACAACAGGAGAGAAAAATCAGTTAGGATCCACTAGTAAAACGCTAGGAACAAAACTCTAACAAATGTTACGAGCAGCCGATAGTATCTACTACTTCAGTAGACTCAATAGTCTGGCAATGAGTCGAGTTGAGCCCAGGGCTTTTAGCTTGAGGCAGATGAGCAGATGAGCAGATGAGTTGCAGGTGTGAGTAGTCACCCGGTGTTGATTGCAGCCACACCCTCCAGAGACACACACAGACAGACAGAGGGGAGGGGACACAAAGGATACACAGAAACAGGATCACAGCCAGAGCCGTAACAGGAGGTTTTTCAAGTATCAGTCAATTAAATATATTGTTGTAGCCTATATTTTGATGAATCCATTATGAAAACAACTCTTCATACGACAAACTTTGCTCTGTTATGACTTTATTTTTAATTATTGGAGATAAATGAACGACACAAAGACAGGAAGACATACAGGTTCTCAAAAGTGAAGTTGTTGTCAGTGAATAATGACACCTAGCCACGGAAGAGGATTAGGTCCACTGAAAAAAAAAGATTATGGTTCTTACATTTTTTTTGGATTCTGACTTTTTTCTCAGAATTCTGGCTCTGTAAAAATCTCAGAATTCTGAGAAAACACGTCAGACCCAATGGCCCTCATCCTCTTCCGTACTAGCAGCTGCCATTTGACACTTTTTTTGTCTGACTGATTTAACCCATGAAGTGAATGTTAGCTTGCTAGTACATGACACACCATGGCGAAGAAAGTAGTTATGAAATGGTTGAAAATGTACATGAGTGGTTTTTAATTGTTTTTATACAGTATAGGCCTATATATATATATATATATATATATATATATATATACCAAAAGTGGATTTTACACACAAGCTTATTTCATATTTTTTAATGACTAGCATCACGATGCTAGAGAAAAGAACACCCTGTCAATAAATGCTAACAGTAACACAACAAGACGACTTTGAGTGCAGACAGCTCTATGGAGCGAAGCCTTAGTGACAGAGGCCATAATAACAGGATGTTTACAGCCTGCGGAAACACTGCCAGGGACGACCACAAGCAGGCAGCAACTGTGGCTGAGAAGAGATTAGGCCGACAATATGCGCTAAATATAATCTCCCTGACCTCCTGTTCTGATTCCACACAGATGCTACCTGTCTATGGTCTGCTTAGTAGATTTAGTTTAACCTCTGAGCCCCTGAAGAAACCTTTCCTGGAAACAAAAATGTACAGTCACTCATTGGTCTGTTTCTGAACGTCCTTTTTGCACACACATCAGACTCAGTTTTTTGAAGTGGTCAGCTGCAGGTGACAGCAGACAGAAGGACACTGGTGGTTTTTGACACCTCAGGGGCTTGAAGCCGAGTCACTGTCACCGTTACTTTCTCTCTGCCCTTCAGTGGTCACATATTGCACGAGTCTGCAACATCTACCACACTGCAGTCTCCACCACCATGGCCATCACCGACTTTCTAGCAGCCTCAGACATCACTTCAGCTATCAACGCTGTAAGGGTAAGGAGACGGTTGTGTATTGATGGTTGACTATAATGAAGGGTATCATTATGTTAATAAACTGGGTCTAATGAGCTCGTATCTATGATTTATCTTTCAGCAAAGGATTCCTTCAGCCCGAAGATGTTTTTTAAAACAGTGGGTTTATCCAAGAAAACTCCAGTAGAGATCGAGAGGGTCTTTAAAATTTTGGACCAGGACAAAAGCGGCTTCATAGAACAGGATGAATTACAGTTGAGTTTTTAACACAGCAAATTCCTATTTATTTTAAATGAAGATATTCACTTGAACTGGACATTTCAGTGATTATGTTTAAGCATGTCATTTAGCATATTTTGTTTTGTTTTTGAAATCTCTGTTCTGTCTTCGTGATTTGTGTGTATCCTTCTTTTACACTGTGTCGCTCCATCGGTGCTCTACGACAGACTGTTCCTGCAGAACTTCTCTAAAGGAGCGAGGACCCTCACTGCAGCTGAAACCAGAGCTTTCCTTTCAGAGGGAGACTCAGATGGAGATGGGAAGATTGGCTGGGAAGGTAGGCAGATTGAAGCATATAGATGGTGATCAGGGATTAGCTTTCTTTTTCTGCTTTTTTTTTTATTTTTTTAGCATGAATTTTTGGAATTCTTTCAAAGTGAAAGTTGTTTAAAGTGGACATATTATACCTCTTTTCGACCTTTTCAAACAGTCCCCTGTGGTCTAAATGAAACATCTGTGCTGTGCTTTGGTCAAAATATAACATGAATCAAGCACCAGAGGAGGTTTGTGACCCTGTATAAACCAGCTCTCTCAGAACGCTCCGTTTTGGTGTGTGTGTCTCTTTAAATGCAACGAGCCCCCCCTCCCTGAGTTTTCCGGATAGACTATATCGAGAATAAAACTGGCAGACCTGTGCAAAAGTTTTGTTCTAAGCTGACGATGGATTTTACCAGAATCCAGCTTGTGACATCCCAAACTGAGAAAATTTGAAATGGAGCATTTTTCTCTGTGTTGTAAGACTTATGCAGACTACAAATAAAGGACTGGATGGGTTTATTTCATATTTTGTGGATCAGTAGACACTCAGGTTACTCAAATATATGTTCAAAAAGACTGTAAAAGTGGATTTTTCATAATATGTCCTCTTAAAGATTGACCCAGAATACCAGAATTACCCCAAATCTATGTGTTTATTGTAACTTCAACATTTCACTGAGTGAAGTTAAATTGTTTTCAGTTCTTATAGTTTGATCAATATATGAAAGAATAAAACGCTCATGTCTTAAATCTGCTTATCTTTTTCCCCAGAGTTCTCTGCGCTGGTCAAGTCTTCATAAATCATACTCAATCCGTAAAACTTGTGGAATGGTGACGTTCCCAGAGATGGACATCTTTTCCTCATGTCTAATAGCCTCAGTGTAGAACATGGCTCATCCATGGATCGTATGTGTTCAAAGTATTTAAATATGTTGTAGGTAGGTAGGAATGTGTAAGTGATTAAAGTTAAACACAAATTCAATCTGAAATGACCCTCTGTGATGAGTCTTCCCCTGCAAGAAAAGTGTATAATAAATGTACTTTTCTCAATGAGATGTGAACATTTGTGTTTTCTTTCTGCTGATATCAAACAAAAACCAAACGGCTGAGCAGACTGCTCTCCTAAGTTTTTACATTTAGCACTTAGATAGTCTCAGTCATGTTAGAGGGGCTGGAATGATTTGGTTTCTCCAAATAATGGCTGTTTGAACCTCCCAGTGGACAAACGTTTTCCATAAGTGGGAGTTTTTCCATGTAAATTAAATGTGTACACCTATACACACAACATTCATCTCCTAAGATTCTACTAATAGAGTGATCTAATGTGTGTACCACCAACCTGGTACCACAAATGGAAATTAGCCTATGGCCGCAATATGGCCATAGGTTAATGTTCATTAATGTGCACAGTGTGACGATTACTAGAGCAGGACCAAAAGCGAGGCTCACACGAGGGAAGTGGGTTAAAGGGATTTAATACAGACTGGAGAAATAATGAACATGAATGCTGTAGGTAGACTTGTGCTGGTGAGGCTGGGCAGTGGTGGAGGTGCTGAGGCTTGCTGAAGGGAGACACTGGAAAAACAGGGAAACAAAGGATTGGTTCAAAATCTCTGAGAAAAACAAGAAGATACTTTCATGGATTTGGACTTAAAATACCACAGGAGGAGCAGGCACAAACTGGCAACCAGAGGACTCTTTAGCGGGAGTAGAATCAGCAACTGTCGATTGCACCTGGTGAGTCGCAGCTGTGCCTAAAGAGCAGCTCAGCCTCTGCAAATCTCTGCAGCAAATCAAGAAACCCAGAAAAGAACCAAAATCCTACCAAAACAAAAACAGAAAACACCCCAGAAAAAGACACAAAACTCACACTAGCAAATAAACCCAACAATGACAAACTGTCCCTATTTTAAATAAATAAATACAAATTAATCAAATTATTCAAATATATAAATACACAAATAAATATTTAAATAAATCTAGACTTTGACTTAAAAATGTACTTAAGTTCATTTTCTTTCACCATTAATCACACACCTAAAAACCTAGGTCACAACTTTGAAATAGGATTTCCTACATTAAACTGGAAATTGGGAAAACTATAGGATTTTGTATTTAAATCAACTTCCCCTGTAAATGTGTTTGAAGATTTACACAAGTAAATGTGTTCATAAAACAGTGTAAAATACTTCATCGAAAGTATTCAAATTGAGCTTAAAACAGAAAAACTGTAATAATAACAGTACTTCCTGCCAATGTTTCTTTGAACATTTATTGGAAGCCAATGAAGATACTTTAGTATAGAATAAATATTAACCCTTTTCATAAGGTAGCTGTATGATTTTGGACTATAAATGTCTGGAGATGTATTTCAGATGTCTGATGAAAGGTAATTGCAATAATCCAACTTAGTAATGAATTTATCACTTAGTTTATCTCCATCATGTTGATACAGGATTTATCTGGTTTTTGCTACGTTACTTACAGGTGAAAAGGCTGTCGTTGAAATGTATTTAATGTGGAAGTTGATGATTTGGTCTTGTTTAGTTTTGGATTTTGTGTATTTCGGAGTTTAGATTACTTTTTCTCGTTTTAGTTTACATTCTTCCCTGGTGTTGTTTGTTTCCCTTGTGTGTTTTTATCTTAATGTTCCTAGTTTAATCTTTAGTGTTTCCTGTTTTTATTTTGTAGTTCTTGTCCCCAGTGTTTCTTGTCTTGTATTTCTCCCTGCCTCAGTGTGTGTCAGAGCACTGAACCCTGTGGAACTCCAGTCACTTTAACAGGTTTTCACAGATTGAAAATGATTTGTGTCCGTTGTTGGTCACAATTTCTCTCAGGCCGTAGTGGATCAAGGAGCCCCTCAGGGCTCAATACCAGGATCAATTTTGTTTTCTCTTCAAATGCTCCCACTGCACAGCATTGAACAAAGACAGTATGTCACTGCTGTACTGATTACACACAGCTATATTCTTCTGTAGTTTTGGATCACATATCTGCTTTGGCACGCTGAGTTTTAACCACTACAGCTCATAAATGTTGATTGGTGTTAGTTGCAGATAGGGTAAGGACATAGACAGTTGAATCAGAGGCCATTGGCAGCTCTGTGATTGGACAACTTAGTGTCAGGCAGAGCTTCAGCAGTGTCAGTCAGAGGAGGACTTGTAACGACCCAGAAGAGGAACTCTGGGACAGGGGGATAGAGTTTCTGTGCTGGAACATTTACAGGTGTTCTGTCAATGAAGCACATTTATTTGCAACTTTCTCTCAGACGGCAAGCCAGAGACTGAGAATATATAGGTCACTTCTATTCCTGCTGTGTCAATAGTCTGTCAGGTGGAGCAACAGAGCTATGGAGGTAACTAATAAGCATAAATTGGTTCAAACAGAAGTGGTTGTGGTGGTTTCAAAGTTTTAAAACCTCAGGCCAATTTTGGAGCATTTATAAGGATCATTGGCTTTTCTACATTTTCTAGCAATTATGGCAAACTTCAAAATATATAACTGAGAATATGATTGGTGACTTCTCTGTCTCAAATTACTGACATTCATGGCTTTACTTGATGGGTTACATTCCTGCTGCGAGATATTTGTAATTTAAGCTGGATATTGAAGGAGGGCAGAAATAGTTACAGTATCTATGGCCCAGTCGTGAGAGGTGAGAGACCTCATTTGACCGAAGCAAATGTTGAAAGTGAAGTTGAGTTTTGCAGGTTTTTTTCAGAAGATTTGTATTAAAGTTTGTGACACCAAATATATATAGATTTTTTTTTAATTATCTCCAGAAAAGTTGTTGCTTGCCTATTCATTTTAATATATAGTTTCAATATGATTTTCATTTTTCAAATTTGCTGATATAATAACTCCATTATAACAGTAGTCACAAGATAATACCCACACTGACCTCTAGTGTACAACAGGCACACAACAGCCAACAGTCATCGGCCAAATATGGGCATGGAAAGCCCCCTCATTTCCAGTCCCTTTTTTAATTACATTGTTTTCTGCAGTGTGGGAACCCTGTGTCATAAGCCTGCAAGCACATGGTTCACCGGGGGAGTGTTAATAAGATGATGATACTGAAGATATTAGTTTTCAATGAGTCCTAAAATAGCATCAAATAGTTTAACCACCTTAAGAAGAAATGGTCTGAATTGCTGTAAGAGGACCAAAAATAAATCCTGGCAAACACATCTTTGGCTGCATGGTAGTAAACGATGATCAGGTACTTTGAAAGAAAGGCATCTCAATGGATCTAGCTGGCTTTGCAATCAAACTCCTATACCTTTATTACAGAGAGAGAGCAATCCTTAAATAATGCACTGTAGTGACACTCCATACAAACAAGCCAAAATATCCATAAACTCAACCTGTTCCTTGAAAGAATAATAAATGACCCTATAGCAATGCATTCTTAAGTGTGTATTTCATTATCTTCATGAGCAACATGAGAATCACATATATGCAGAATCCCTTTTTGTCCCATTAAGTTTCATACACAATTAGAACACAATATCTATTTTGCAGAAATAAACATATAGAAACGTCTGTTATTTTGGTGAAGTCCTGCTAAGCTTAGCATATAACAGAAAATACAAACGTATGAAGACGTGAATTTATTTGAACTTTAACTTAGCTACCCATGTCTGTAATAATAAATCATAAAACATCCAGACTGTTCTTACAACAAAATACCAGCAAACCCATTGCAGACATTTGATGCCGGTCAAAGGTCACATGAAGGGTTTTCAATCACCAAAGATAATTAGCATGTCAATGCAAAATTTAGCTTTTGCTCTATTGTTGGCTGCATTATCAGAGCAAAAAAACAATAACAGTATGTCATAAAAATAAGACTGGATGCAGTGTTTAAAACATTTACATTATAGCACACAAGCCACTGTGTTAATAGTAAACTTTGCATTCTGATAATCTGCAACTTACATACTAAAAGTTGACCTCTTTCTTCACTTGGTTCATGCTCTGCACAGCTCAAAACTACATGACCACAGAGTCCATTTCACCCAAATCAGCAGCGTATATTATTAGCCCTATGCAATATCAAGCACTTTTGCATAGGTCTACACTTGGCCTACCATTTAAGCATCTTCATTTATGTGCATATAAATAGAACAGCTCTGTCTACTGGACACATTTTTCGACCGACTGCTTTGACTGCTTCTACACAGTGTCCATTACATAGCCTATGCATCATATTTCTGTTGAGTGAAGGTATATAAGCCTGCAAACGACTCCCAGTGCTTCACTGCAGTGAACCGATTCATCTCAGCCATTTCCCTCTTGTCCTCAGAGATAACCCGAAGGTGAGTTTCACTGAGGAGCTGCAGACCTTTAGGCACTGCTGCCTGACTCCGAGAGGGGTTCAGGGCTTCAACTTCATGCATTTGGATATAAATCGATGAAAAGGCAAAGCTCAGAGTTTGATTTTGGACCAACTAAGGAACCAAATGGGAAAAGTCTATTTGTCAACCAACTGCTGCTGCAAAGGATGTTTGATCTTTTGCCTTGAAGGGCTTGGTTTTGGAAAAAATTGGACTACCTTTATTGATCATGTTCCTTTCTTTTTGGGGCTTTCCAGAGAGGATTATTCACAAAGAGGAGATTAAACAGTTATTGCATGGCTTTATGAAGATTGAAAGTTGCTCCTTGAACTTTGAAAGCTGTATTTGTCATTTACCAAATTTGTGTACTGATTTGTTGAACTGATGACTCTTCTCTCCTCTTCTCTCCTCCCTCAGCTAAAAATGGCACTGGCCGCATCCCTCAAAGAAGCTGACATCACTGCAGCCCTTGCAGCTTGCGCGGGTAAAGCCCACCAAAAGAAATGACACAGCATGCAGTATTATAACAAGAGTAGAGATGGTAGTGACCCACGCTCTTTCAGATCTGCTTTGCAAAAGAATGACCAGGATTCTTTCTTTATTCATTTTCTAATCGCATAACCAAATAATAGTTACAGCAGATTAGAATGTGCATCTCTTTTTATTATCTTTACAAATATTTTCAGAGCTGATCAATACTATAGTAGGTTTGCAGAATGTGACTTTGTTATTTCAGTGTGACCCAACAGACAATCTTATTTGTATCTGAGTAGCAACATTAAGATGAAAACACATGGAAATGAATCCTTACTGCCTTGAAAATGATGGCGGTTGAGGGCCCATGGTATATAATGCAGCTTAACAAAACACTTGAAGTTGTGTGTCTTAATGTCTAACACAAGCTCATCTATGTCTCCACACAGCTGCCGACTCTTTCAACCACAAAGAGTTCTTTGCCAAGGTTGGCATGTCTACCAAGTCTGCTGACGACATCAAGAAAGCCTTCGCCGTCATTGACCAGGACAAGAGTGGCTTCATTGAGGAGGATGAGCTGAAGTAAGTGGCATCTCTTATATTCCATCTCAAGATTCACTGAACCCTTAGAATACACAGATGCTCTTTAAAGCTTTAAATTGCCACAAAGTATTTGAGAACTGTTTTTTTTTTCTCTCTTGGGCCATAACTGTCTACACCAGTAGTACAAACAAAGCAAGCTTGACATGTTGGGCCAAATCAAGCTATTTTTTATGATTCATAAAAAAAAAATGAATGAGCAACATAAAATGACTGATCAGTTAGGCATTAGTATAATGTTTCTCAAAAGCAATAAATTCTGAGTGCATAAATATACAGTGATCTTCCGATATATATAGATATATATATATATCTATATATATATATATTTCAGTTGTATTTACTGCAGTACTCAGGTTTTCTCTGATCATCATCCTTTCCAGGCTGTTCCTGCAGAACTTCTCTGCCTCCGCCAGAGCTCTGACTGACAAGGAGACCGCTGCTTTCCTCGCAGTCGGTGACTCTGATGGTGACGGCAAGATCGGAGTTGATGGTAAGGAACACTTTTTGTTTTTTAACAACAGAAGAAGGATCAGAACCTGAGCTCCAATCAAATGTGACAATTCTCATTTTCTTTTTTCTTCCTGCAGAGTTTGCTGCCATGATCAAGGCATAAATGAACAAGCAGACGATATCTTACTCCAACACTCTAAAGGAACAACTTGAGACAAACTCCTCCTCTCTTCTTCTCCTCTTCCCATCCACTCTCTCTCTCTCTCTCAATTCTCCACACCACTTTTATACACTTGACCTTTACTCCTGACCCAACTGTAAACAGACTATGACCCCCTCACTCTCTCTCTCATTGGCAGTGCTCACCCCTTCGCTGTCCACTATGAATGTACCTGACTTAAGTGTATGGCGTGGTTGACTTGTGTCTTTCTCTCTCTCTCTCACTTCTGTCGTCGTTTTACTATGTGAGTTTTTGCTTACCATGAGATCAGTGATGATGCACTTTCATGGGAAACGGACGAATGATGAGAAAACAATAAAGGTTCTTTTTCAGTAATACAAGTCTGAGCCTGGTCTTTAAATCAGCTGGGAATTATCAAACACAAACAAAAGCTTCAAAGATAGGACGTTTTAATTTTGCCACTTAAGTGCAAAATCCTGCAATTTTATTTAGGTCAAGCCACCAAATGATCATAAAAGAGACAATAAATATTAAATATTAAACTGTATCTTCTTTACATTTTAGAACAATCTTGAATCTTATGTTTCTATTATAAATGATATTTATTATCTTAAAGTTTGACTGCAGCAACAAAAGAAAAAAAACATGCTAAATCCTATTCACCCTGCTATTTTAAGTGGAGAAGTAAATCGCAGAAAGTCACAAACAAAAGCTTTTAACAGTAGCCTAAAGATATAGCTAATACAGTAATACTCCAGAAATAATTTTATACCTCTTGTTTATTTACTAAATATAAACATTTCAATTAGGGCTAGCACCTAAAGACCACAGAAAAGACAACTTTAGCTTATGCACCTTTTCCATGAAAATCTTGAAGCTGCTGGTTTGTAACAACAGGAACCTTGCTAAATTCAAAACATTTAGCAAAAATGCTAACCTAACCAATCGTTTGACCGTAAGTGGAAAAGATAAGAACGCAAAGTAACTTAACCTTTTATATCCTAACATGATCTAGGCTACCAAAGTTGGCAGGTTAGCTAACATTCACATGATTAACATTAGCTAAAAGTGGCCTTGAATGTGCCAAATAAACCAACAGTATGTTTTTTAATTAATTAACCTTTTTATTTGTAGCCTAATAAGAACAATTGTGATGAAATAGCCAATTTAATAAAGGCTTTATACTTTTTTCAGAAGAGGGCCTTATTTTCACCCTTTAAAATGTCACAGTCTTGTTTTATAAATGGCATTTTACACTTCCTTCTCCCAACCGGAATTTTTTTGTTGCGAGTGTCATTCAACCTTTTTGATTTCACCATAGACTTATAGACTGTTAATAATATTTCTCTTTTTTTCTTTTTCCTTTATTAATACAAATAGCAATACTGGATATTGTTGTAATACAGAACATGAAGACAGAATAATACAATCAGGAATGACGAAAAGTAGCCTGAAGAAAATGTGAGATGCCAAGGGATGCATCAAATCAAAGCTTGATGTTTAACATAATTTAGAAAGATAAATTAAATAGGACAAAAACATTATACAATTGAAAGCTTTTCTATACTCTTTAATTAACGTGACATATGTAAAAATGTGCACGTATGGATGTGAAATTTGCACAAAAAAAAGAAAAAAGAAGCAGAATAAGATTGATTACATGTACGAAAAAATGTTTTTATTGCCTCTCTCTCTCAAAAAAAAGATTCAAATTCAGGAGAATTTTTTTTACAGACTTTATAAATAATATAGGCTAGTTATTACAATTCTTTAAATAAATGTCTTGATAAAGTAGGCTACAGTTCCAAAATAAATGGTGGATAGTCTCAGTGTGATCTTTACAAAAAGTAGCCAATTTGGTTTATAGTTCTTACGGTATTATCATGTAGGCTACTGATTTGTGGGATAATTCTAGTATATAATATTTTCAAGGAAACCTCTCTAATTTTGTTGTTAATCAGACATTCATGCCCTAAAGTAAAGATGGCTCAGCGTTGACGCGAAGCAGCCACAAGATGGCGCCTGTGATCTAAGAGCCTAAATGTGCCGCTATGATTTCAGTGGCTTGAGTCTTTTACATTGAGTGACAGCACATTTGTTTCCCCGAGTTCACGTCAATAAATAGTTTATTTTTCATTATTAGAAGTGAGCATGAAAATACCTCTAATCTCAAAGTGTCAAGTCACATGTTCACTGCATGTGATAGGCCTGCTTTAAATAATAATGAGACTTATTCCCATGGTTCTTGTTACAAAAAGCATCCCTCTCCTCTGCTCACATGCTGACTGGGCTCACCAGAGAGACAATGCTGTGTCAGATGATTTGAAAGAGTTCCCTTTGAAGACATACTCAGGATACAGTTGACTTGTTACCATGGTGACCAAAAACTCTTGTACGCCTTCACCTTTCAGCCATGTGTGCACCTGTGTGTCAGAGCATTTCCACAGGAAAACCAGCACAATACAAGACACCAACTCAACATGTTGGCAGAGCCTACTTACAAATGCGTGACATAAATTAATTATTTATAAGTGGAATTACTCTACCGTTTTATATATTCAAAAAAAGGGCTTAAAAGAAGTGGTGAAAGTGAACTCCTTCTACATTTGGATGCTATCTGAAGTGTATAGAGGTAGCCTATTTGACTTATAAAATGTTAAGTCCCCAATAACGATTTCTCATAAAGCATTTACTTTTTTTAACTTCTTCTTACTTATGAGTTAATCTTTTTGTCATTTGTACCTTTACATATACTTTCATTTTTGAATAACATTTACACAAGGGTTCTCTTCAGCTTGTGCATTAATAAAATACACCCAAAAATATTTCGACCTGTGTTCGGTGTTCAGTCTATTTATTTATTTATTTACTGACAAAGCTTGCAATATCAGTATAATGTAAGATCACCAGGGGGGAAAAAAGACAAAAATCCCCTACCCCTCCTGCTGAGTCATAAGATGATTTATGACCTGCTGTTCTCTATGGTCATCTGAATGTAGGAGATTATTCCCTAAAACCAAAGATAAAAAAAAAGAAGGCCAGATTAAATTTGAGATGTCTGTGTAAGCCATGCACATGCACCTGCAGAGAAAAAGAGAGAGAGAGAGAGAGAGAGAGAGAGAGATGTAATAGAGGGAGTAAAAGTTTGATTTGGCAGAGCAGAACAGGAAAGGTTAATTGGGCAGGTGAGCAGGTGAGGAACCCGAGAAGGAGGCGGCTGGGAACATTTGATCCGCAGACAGGTTGGAAACTATAGCATCCACCCCCGTGTATATAACAGTGAGCCAGCTGTGTGATCGCACCACAAAGCCTTATCCGGTGCTGCTGCTTTGGACCTGGACGCAGAGGAATCAACAGCGGTGAGTCCCACAGCCGCATTCAGGGACATTCAGGTGTTGGCTTTATGCTCCACCTGCCTCTTTTGAAGAAGTTTGGCGCCAAACTGAGCTAGCAATATAAATATAGCCAATATCTTCTTTTATAAAGGTTAATTTTTGAGTAACTTAAGAAGTTTTAGACATTACTCACCACATAAGAAAATGATTTGCTAACTTAGCCAAATGTTATTTACACAAAAAAGGCTGCTAAAATCTTTTGACTTAAAGAACTATGTGACTTAAAAGTGCAATAATAGTTTGTTTTTAATTGTATAACCCATTTTTCTGACAGTTACCTACTTCTAAATTTGACAAAAGTTGACTTTCTAAATATTGTCTAGTTATTACACAAATCCAAATTTAGAAATATATAGGCTTTCTGTTTAAACTCGTTTGGCAACAAGGGACTGTACTAACATTATTAGACAGATCTGTTCAGATCATTTCAGTCATTTTTGGAATGGGAAAAGATGTAGGTGGTGGATTTAACTTTAATGAGAGAGAAAATTTGTTTGGTCCTTTACTCTAAAATGGGTTTATTGCCCAAGTCCTAAAGCACCAACTGAGTCAGTGCAAAGGCTGGTTCAGTTATCAATAACCATCATTGGCTATTATTACATTTATTTACTATGTGAGGATTTCAATGTTATTATACCATTTATTTATCGAAAGATCCTAAAATACTAATATCAATGCCAAAGGTTCTGCTCTTTCTTGATTAAAAAAACATTATTCCCCAATCACATCCGACCCCCAACAGTGATATTTTTTTTACAGTCCCTGAGTGCGAATTATCTTATGGTCCCAACACAATTAGGTAATTCAGAGGTAGCAATTAGTGTCAGCAATTAACAGGCCACGAGAGGAAACACATCCTGGAAGTTAAAAACAAACTTGGAGCCTATTAGAATATTCGATTTATATTTTTGAACACCAACACTTATTGACATTTGAACTTTTGAAAATCAGGTTTATGCATTAATTTATTCCTCAGAGTTTTTACCAGACATTTTAGCTAGATTTCGCAAAACAATCACAATAAGAGTCTTTTCTGGGATCATCATATTAACCTTAATACATCTGCAAATACAAAACAAGTTAATCCAGTGTAACACAAAAAAATGTTTGTAGGACAGACAGACAGACAGACAGACAGACACACACACACACACACACACACACACACACACACACACACACACACACACACACACACACACACACACACACACACACACACACAGATACACACACACACACACACACACACACACACACACACACACACAGACAGACAGACAGACAGATACACACACACACACACACACACACACATACCTACACACACATGCACACACACACACTCACACACACACACAGACACAAACACAAACACAAACACACACACACACACACACACACACACACACACACACACACACACACAGACACAAACACAAACACACACACACAGACACAAACACACACACACACACACAAACACACACACACAGACACACACACACACACACACACAAACACACACACACACACACACACAGACACAAACACAAACACACACACACACACACACACACACACACACACACACACACACACACACACACAGACAGACAGACAGATGGACAGACAAAAATGAGTGTGGTTTATTTATGGTGATTTCCTTTGACCCAACAGGACCAACATGTCGCTTACCTCTATCCTCTCAGCTGAGGCCATTGAAAACGCTGTCAAGGACTGTCAAGGTAGTATCTCCACACACACCCAACACACACACACACATGATTCATTGCATCAACATTACCACTAAAGTCACATCCAGCTTTTGAATCCCGATGAAATCTAAATGTGTCCCATGGATTTAAAAGATAAAAGCATGGGAAGGCAACCTCATGCTGTTTTAATCTCCACATTCAGCAGTTCCCATCCTTTTAAAAAAAAAAAAAATCATAGTTGTATGTGACTGCATACATGTGTTTTTCAGCTCCAGACTCCTTCTGCTACAAAAAGTTTTTCCAGCTGTGTGGCCTGTCTTCAAAGACGCCCCAGGAAGTCAAAGATGTCTTCCGGATCCTTGATGAGGACAACAGCGGCTTCATCGAGGAGTCAGAGCTCAAGTGTGTGAAACAATAAAAGTTTGAAAGAAATGTTATCCTCCTTGCAAAAATCACCTGCTTTCTATGTTTTATTTACAGTCATTTCAGTTGTTAAAGAGCTGGTGTTATACACACACAAAGATTTAGTGTGGTGGTATTATTTGGATAGCACCATCAGGCCTCTCCTAATAATCCCTGATGATATAATTCCCCTTTGTCTTATTGCGTGCAATTTAGGAATTAGTGATGTGTATTTAAATGTGTGTCAGAGAAGAGCCACCTCAAATACTTACAGCAGATGTTCTGTGTGTGTGTGTGTGTGTGTGTGTGTGTGTGTGTGTGTGTGTGTGTGTGTGTGTGTGTGTGTGTGTGTGTGTGTGTGTGTGTGTGTGTGTAGGTACTTCCTGCAGAGGTTTGTTCCCGGGGCGAGGACCCTGAGCGAAGCAGAAATTAAGAGTTTCGTCTCAGCAGCTGATGAGGACAGTGACGGCAGAATTGGAGCAGATGGTGTGTATCTGATTTCTTAGATTATAAATGTTCACACTCATAAGGTCAGCAGATAACATGTCATTGGCCAGACCAAGTCTGAGTCGGCGGAGTCAGACAACCACAAACACAAATGTGTAAGAATTCATTTAGTGAAAAATTAATTAATGCCAATTGCAAATTACTTTTTGTAAATGACTAATCAAGCAAATAGTTTGCATCATTCTTTGTTTTTCACTATGTTGGTATACTGTGCTGTCAAAAAAACTGTTAGTACTCACTTCTTAAGTTTTCACCTCATTTGTACCTTTAAGAACCCTGGCTATAAACTCTGTGCAGCACATCAGTTTCACTCTGTGTTGATGTTAAATTGCATTGTCCCTGTTAAATAAATTAAAAGTGAAAGAAGCTCTGTCTGCATGGAAAGACTAAAATGCCAAGTTTCATCCAGAGTTTTGAGATACTTTGTTGAAAGCAACAAGGTTTTAAAAAATATTTTTTCATGCAAAATCTTTTTCAGGGCCATTTTGTCTTTATTTGATAGGCTGAAGGGAGACAGGAAATGTTGGCAGCAAAGGGCCGAAGTCAGATTCGAACCCATGGCAGCCTCTGTACATGTGGCGCACAACATAACCGTTATCCAGCGCCCCTTTCTTATGCTATTTCATGCTATTCTTCCACAGTGGTTTGACTATACTGTTAAAGTTATTTTATCCAGTGGGATAATTTTTTACAATGCAGGTCTTTAATCCAACAGAAAAGTATTTCTTGAATGATCAAATGAAGATTTTGAGAACCATTAAATGGCATCACTGTGCACTACCTCTGGCTTATTTTCTGAGGGAGTGAATACAAATGAATGTAGAAACATCACATGTCAAACAGGCAGCGCTTTACAAATGATAGGCAGAAGTGTTGCTCTTCATGCTCAGTTTAAACACGTGCGTCCATGGCGACAGGTGCTGCTTTGCGATTATGTGTGCGGTCGATCTTCTACATCAGATGCAGTTGGTAGAAGTAAAGCGCATTACATGTTACATTTCTACTGTAGAGACTTTGTAAAAAGTAAATCTTTTCAGACCAGAGTGAAAAAGTGAATTAAATAAAAGGTTTTTACCCAATGCTTATTTAGTTCAGAGAGCACTTGCATTGGACATGGTTTGTTGAGGATATTCGTTGAATCATGTCGTTTCAGGTTTATCAAAGTAGAAAACATCTGCATGCAGTCGTGACCTTAAAAATCCTGTCCCTGATTTTCCTGTCCTCTAGTTACGAGCAATATTTGAGCTCAGCTGTCTTACATAATAGGATAAAGGATTTGGACAATCCAAAAGAGATTATTTTTAGTCTGTATTTGTTTATATTTTCTAGTGCTCGGTCACTTAAAGGTTCAGAGGTGATCCCGGCGTCAATCATACATGTAACAGTTCAGCATAAGGTTGAATTTTGTTTCATTTGACTGTCTGTGTTATTCAATTAAAATTAAGGGCAAAGAAATGTGCTGTCTTTAACATTTAGTGACTTTGTTTGCAGATGACTCGTCACTATTTCACCATGTTTTTCTTTTTCTCAGAATTCCAGACTATGGTCCTGTCCTGAGTTTTATTCATGGGAAGAACTCAAGTACTCAGATCGTCCGTCCTCCCAACACCTCAGGAGTCCTCTGGTCACAGCTTCTATTCCCAGTGATTTTCTTTTTCTGCAAAAATCTGTCCAATAGTTTTGAAAGTGTCCTTTAATTCTTTTAAAAAATACCATGTTTTTCTTTTTCTCAGAATTCCAGACTATGGTCCTGTCCTGAGTTTTATTCATGGGAAGAACTCAAGTACTCAGATCGTCCGTCCTCCCAACACCTCAGGAGTCCTCTGGTCACAGCTTCTATTCCCAGTGATTTTCTTTTTCTGTTAAAATCTGTCCAATAGTTTTGAAAGTGTCCTTTAATTCTTTTAAAAAATACATATGACTTTTAGTTTTCTTTCCTCTGTTTTTTGACCATGTGTCCTTTTTCTGTGCAAAGCCTACCTCCTACAAACAATAAGATGAATAAATGAAATGTGGAAATTAAGATCACCTCTTTAAGCGTTTCTCTAATAAGAAATGTAAAAGATGGATAACAAAATGCTATGAAAATGATGTGTGTATTGTACAGTTTAAATACTGTCTTCAAATGAATAAACCAGATGTATGAAAGCAGGAAATAAAAGTGTCTTGGGATTATTTACATGTTGTATATATTTATTATTTTTCACTTGTAATTACACACACAGCAGTCCTACATGATTTAAGCTCAAGTTTTAAAATGAGAACTTTTACTATGATTTTTTACGTCAGACTTTTTAAAAAAGTTTTTCAAAACAAGCATAATAATTCTTTGAGGTTATAGTGAAAACTGAACCGAGCCTTCCATTAGTTTTTAATCATATAAGAATGACTATTCTCATGTAATGCAGTGAGAAATATTAACCTCTATGCAAAAAAGTCAATTACACAATGCCAAGTACCATTTAGCCCAAACATGAACCCACAAATTGCACATTTAAAGAACGTGTCGTAATTTCTTTACAGTTCATAATTCATGTCCTATGTTTGGAATAGGAACCTTTCTTTGGCTCGAAATCAATTTTACCCGAACAGAAGATCTTGTGACACCGCGCTGTCAAAAGCAGGAAGTTAAGAATGTGAAGTATAATGCGGCATCTCCTCATATCATTGATTTCATTTCTTCATTTTAAATTATCATTTACGCTCTCTACAACCACAGGCTGCTGGACGAGTTGTGTTTCTGCTCTGTAAGGTGAGTGTTACCGTCGTGTTGTCCTCATGTTTCTCTTTTCTCCGCCTGGATCTCAAACACAACTCGCTAGCATAGCCCGGCTAGCTAAACTAGACAGCGGCTGTTTGCTGGTTTGTTAACAGTTCATTTGAAGTAGTTTTACTCGTTAATACAGAGCCACACACGTCACCTTGTGTTTAATCTGTTAAGTCTTTATTTACAAAAACAGCTTCTGTTTAAAGCTCTTTCCGCTCACAGAGACTTCACCGGCTTAAAGCTGCGTTGTTAAATTAACTGAATCACAGCAACACACAATCTGTCACAAACGACATGTAAACAACATGTAAACAACATGTAAACAAACTCTGCTGCAGCAAAACACAGTTCAAGTCTGTAACTTTCTGAAGTAAAAAAAATAAACACGTATTTCTTTTCTGTTGAATCTATGACTGATAGATTATTTGTAAGTTAAGATTTAGACCTTTCATGCTAAACATGGAAAAGCTCATAAGAAGCATTTGTTTGGGTACTCTTAGCTTCTAGTAAGTTGTGCCATTAAAGTATTAAAAGGTTACAGACAACTGCGTTCATAAATAATCCCCCCCCCCCCCCCCAAGAATTTATCAAAGTACTTAAAATGCACAAAGTGAACAGATAGATACACCTCATTGAAGTTAATGCAATCCAATACAACGCTGCTGAAATAATACACCCACCTTGATAAGGATTATATCAGTGTTTTATGTTGAATATTTTTGTAGAAACGAGCCAGATTCGACTTTCTTGCTACTTTGAAGGTTGTTTTTCAGTTGTGCAGGTGAATTGTTTTGCCTCAACCCTTCTCTATATCTTAGTCGACTATGTTTCACATCTTTTCAATGAAGTCACCTGTAAGTGAATTTATTTCTGTGCATGATTGAACTTTTGTTTATTTCTAAGCCTGACCAATACATGATTTTGAAGGCTGACCCTGATTTTTAAAGAGATGGCCAAAACAGTTAGAGGGTATAGTAGAGACATTTTAGCAGGAATAAACACAGATTTATAATGTGTGGCTTTTGCTCCAACTTCTACACAGATAACATGTAGATGTTAAAACCATATTTGCTTCTATGTAAGAGCATATATTCCAATGTCAATCCATTATTGAACCATACTGACTGATAGATATATTGGTTGGACTGATTATTACATTTCTTTACCACTACTCAGTGAATAAGCTTTGTGCCAATCTGACATTTCCAATTTCAATATTTCAGCTCAGGGTATCTGCTAGGGATGCACCAATATCCGCTGATATCGACCATGTTGACAGACGGCAGCAAATGGTGTGGCATGCACCAATGTCAGATGCCCATGTGTATCTGTTGTGTTGCATCAATCTAATGCTGGCAAGATGAAGCTGGTAAACCTGACTAGTGGTTAAGAGAAAAGGCATTTCAGAAGGATCACCTGTTAGATAAACTAGTTTAAACTGTTAGTTTTCATGGTCACACATGAAAGAAAACGTTCCAGTGTGAGAGTCTTGACACCGTCTCTGGGAGAGATCCGTGATATGCTGTTTGTAAGTCATATTCCTGTGACATTTCAAGAGGAGGGACGACTAGCAAATATGTGAATGCATCAAATCTCATACCTAGTTTGAAACAGACACAAAGAAATCATGAAAAAACAATATTGGTCTTACATTTGGTCATTGGTTAATGGACTAAACTTTCAATATCAGTCTCTTCCCTGACTGTCACAATCGGTGCATCTCCAGTATCTGCTCATATCAGCTGTATTGGTGTGAACCCGTTTTAAAATGTCACTTGAATTGAATGAATGAATGTTATTGTACATGTAAACCTGTTTGTTGTCATGTCATTAGTAGTATATGATCCACTTAATCAGGTAAGTGTTGGATGACATACTGCATTCAGTGCTGCAAACTTTTCCCTGATACACCAACCTTACTCAGAATGTTTGGACCCCTCTATTAGACATGATTGCTTATTATTATTTCACTTGTCTTACTTCATAGTGTGATCTTACTTGTTTTCATTCTGCAGGCACACGGCATGCTAACCAAACTGCCTTTAAAGCGAAGTAATCCAGAAACAAGTTCTACTAATGCTGATGATTAGGTAAAGCATGATTTTTTTATAATGAAAGGCAGATGTTAATGTAAGTTTGTCATCTTTTAATTGTTTAATCTTTTTTTCTGACAGTCCCAGAATGGCCTCAGGAATGCAAGACAAACAGTTCACACCGTCTCTGCTCAATTTTTTCATTTATAACCCTTCATTTGGACCCCGGGAAGGAGAGGTGAGATTCATTGTGCCAATTCAAAAGCGAAATACGTTTCCTTTCCTATTTATGTTTCACTTGCATTGCTAATATGGGATGTGTTTTATTTTAGGAAGAGAAGAAGATTTTATTTTACCACCCTAGTGATGTAGAGAAGAACGAGAAGATCCGAAATGTTGGCCTTTGTGAAGCCATTGTACAGTTCACCAGGTAAAGAGTTTGGACCTGAAAATCCTCTGAATTGTTTCACTTGGTGGATTTTTGTGTGTGTTTGTTTAGCCGTCTTGGCATGGATTTAAACTTTTCAAAAATCAAAGTATAATTCTCATAAAAACCTTGGCTCTAATATTACCAGTATATAAGGAAATTACTAAAAGGTAAAAATCATTTTGGAATTGTTCCGTTGTTTGGCCTCTGAAACGGCCAGGTTCACTTTGTTTTTGTTAGTGTTTGACTACATCACAGAATGCTTCCTATTTCTACTGAAATACTTTTTTTAATTTTTATGAAGTCTGCCTAAGAACAGTTCTTTCTCTGGATGCTTGTGGTCAGAGGTGGGTTTGTTTCAGAGAGAAGTTGGTGGAAAATGTCAGACTGGAGTCAAAACTGAAGAGTAGACGAGAAGCGTTTGAACCCTGACCTATACACTGGACTGAATCATTCCAAAACATGTTATAGCTATTAATCATTAAGACTCGTTCTGACATATGTAAAATATTGTAGGTCAGCAGTTCTAAAAACACTTCAACCTCATTGGTTGGTTTGACTGGCTTTGCAAACGAATCAAAAAGCATGAATTCCATGAGAACCTCAGGAGAAGATAATGACTCACAAGATACACAATGACACATATCGGATGTATAAAGAGACATATTTAAGTGTCTTTCCTTTGTTTTCATGGTCACATCTTCCATCCTCCAGGACATTCTGCCCAACAAAACCAGCGAAATCTCTGCACACACAGAAGAACCGGCAGTTCTTCTTCGAGCCCGAGGACAGCTTCTGGATAGTCATGGTATTTCCAAGGCTTACAACACTTGTTCGTCATTGACTCTTTTTTTTTGTAAAACTGCAGCATCAGCTCTCTAACCCGTCTCTATCTGCGCTTTGAATTTCAAACTTCATTCCTCAGGTGGTTCGAAACCCGATGATTGAGAAACCAAACAAAGACGGCAAACCTCCGACAATAGAATATCAGGAAGAGGAAATACTTGTGAGTGCTGACAGATACTCGCCAACATTTGTTCCCTTGAGTTTAAAGTTGTACTCACTGTGCCCTCTCTAATCTGCAGGACACAGTTTATGGTGCGGTGGTTAGACAATGCTACAGCATGTACAAGGTATGTTTGGTATCATATGCATGGATTCATTGGACACTGTTCTTTATGTCACATATATTTACATTGCGTTTGGAGCTTATTCCATTATTCATTTAATAAAAGCCCTAAATATAATAAATAGATAAATATAGAAGTGAATGTTAGAATATTACAATATTTCTTCCATATTTAATTTTTATTGTCATTTTAATGTTCTATTTTTAAATAATTTCTTGTGTTTATTTATGCAAATATCGGCCGATATTATCGGCTGGCCGATTAATCGGTCGGGCTCTATTATTTACCCCAATTTTGATTTCTGCATTTATATTCTTTTTGTTTTGCATGTTCTCTTTTGAGCTCCTTTGACTTCATACATGAGTACCCTTATTTATTGATTTATTCGTTTTCTTTGTATTGCAGCTCTTCAACGGCACATTTGGCAGAGCGATGGAAGTTGGCGGAGTTGAGCTGCTCATTCAGAAACTTGAGAAGTTCTTCTACAGGGTAAAAAAAAAACTGTCCAAATCTGAACATGAAGTCATATCATCTGTTTTCATTACATGTCTAGCATATTTTGACCTGGCATTGACAGAATTGTAGCTGGTAACTTGCCTCATGTCCTAGAATGACACTGCGTAAACTGATCAGTAGTAAAAGTATAAGAAATGAATTCCTAATGAGGAAAAACCCTCCAGAAGTTGACACAGGATTCCCTCTCCGGTAAGTAACCCTTAGACAGATTGAAACAGAGAGGGGTTTGTTGTGCCTGTAAGAGGTTCAATGTCAGTGCTTCCTTCAGGATGACGCAGAGCAGAGCATCAGTCAAAGTTTCTTATCCCTCTTGACTTTATTGCACTGTAACAAAGCACGGAGCTCTTCAACTAAAACCCTTTCACCTTCCCTTCTCATGTGTCTCTCTGGTGTTTCTCTGCCTCTGTGTGTCTGTGTGGCCTCACTCTGGGCTCTACAGTATCTGCAGACTCTGCACTTGCAGTCCTGCGACTTGCTGGATGTGTTTGGAGGAATCAGCTTCTTCCCACTGGACAAGATGACCTACCTGAAGATCCAGTCCTTCGTCAACAGAGTGGAGGAGAGCCTCAGTTTGATCAAATACACAGCCTTTCTCTACAATGACCAGCTCATCTGGTACACACACTTATCACTTAAATCCATGTGCTTGTCTCTGAAATCCACTTGTGGTTTCGATTGTTTTGTGGTATCATACACTCCTGTTGTCCACAACAACCTTATATAACCCCACATGGTTTTTTTTCTACAAGTGTAAAATCTCAGCACTGACATGTACACACTCAGCAAGGCATGCTGGGCAAACAGAGGTGGCTTCAAACACGACCTGTAATCCTCTTTGCAGTTAATGTGCTTCCTGACATGTCACCTGCCACTTGGCTGGCTGTGTACACACTGAGGGATTAAATGATTGCTAATGAAATTACTCCAGAGCTGTTTGATCTGGAGAGCTTTTAATTAATGTCCAAATTAAGTGCCTGCATTGTGCACACTATTCATCACAGTACCTTTTTACTGCCACAGCTCAACAGTAATCACCACCACTATGTGATGCCATTTTAACATCCAGGTCATTGAGCATTACTCATTAGTTGACAGCACACGGAAAATGCTGCACTTATCCACATGTTTGTTTTTGCAGTTTGAATAAGGTGTGGCATGAAGTTTTTGAAGGTGTGACATGTTATTCTTACGTTTTGGCTGGGTCTTGCAGGAGCGGACTGGAACAAGATGACATGAGGATCCTGTACAAGTACCTGACCACTTCATTGTTTCCCAGACACTCTGAACCAGAGGTGAGGAAGTGGGAGTGCAGGAGAGATAGTAAAATGTAAAAAAGCTGAAGGAAGTGTGGGAAATAAAATGAGGACGGGATGATTACGTAGAATAGAATAAAGAGGCTCACTGCTATCTAGAAAACAACAGCACAGCATTTTTCTGATGACATAACCACGTAAAAACCAACAGTGTGACATCTGAAACCTTTTCCTGATATCAAACAATATAAGAATGTGTTTTAAATTAATGATTTAAACAGAACCAACAAGATGACTGAATATTCCTCTGAGCCTTCAACTCTTGTCTTTCCTTAGTTGGCTGGCAGAGACTCTCCTCTAAGGCCAGAGGTCGCAGGGAATCTGTTGCACTATGGGAGGTAAGTCTCTAACTTTGAGTATCTGTGTACCTTCTTCTTCTGCAGAGAAAGATGAAACGAGTAGTTTGTATTTTTGTTCATATGTCTCTTTATGCAATGTCAGTTTAGAAGTAGGCATTAAACCTGTGACAGCAGAGTGCACATCAATGTTTACATTTGCATGCATCATTTGGTTTCGACATACTCACATTAATAAGGTTTGCTTGCTGTCAAAATATAGTGCACTCCCTTGCATAACATTGCAAGCATGTTAGTAAGAGAGCAGTAGGTAGAGTATCACTTCAGCCTTTACATACATATGTAACAAGAGACAGTTTGCTCCAGTGTTTGCTGACTGACAAAACGTGTGTCTGCATGCTGCTTCATGTCAAGAGTTCTGAAGAGGTACAGAAATCACAGTGTGACGCCTGGCCTCCGGTCATGGGATAGGAAACAGCACTACAGCTTTAGGTGGATGTAGAGTTGAAATATATACATAATGCAAACAGACCAATAAAATACCAACATGGTTAAATTAAAATAGGAGAAGCTACAGATGCTCTTCAAGGTCCTGCTGTTGAAGCTACACTAGAGGAGCACACACGTATGCCTCTCAGTGCAAATGGTTTCACTTAATAGTAAATGGCATCCTTGGAATCCAGTGTTTAACGGGCACAACAGTGAAGTCTTTGTTGAGCACGGGGCCCCTTCCTTTGGATCAGTCATGAAGGGAAGAGTAGTGAATACTCTCTGGTCCATTTGAAGGCTTGTTTTTTTATTTTTATTATTAGCATTAGCATGCTAACAGCTTGATTAGGTTTGGTCTATCTACTAAAAGTTTAAAATGCTGATGGTGTTTAAGGAAAATTCCTTAAACACCACATTCCAAATTCCACATTCACTTTCAAATATACCGAGTACGTCCATGCTACAAGACCCCCTCCCTCTCTGAGATTTTAGAATCTCCAGTAAACTCTGAAAAAAGTACTTTAAATAAAGTTTGTCTGGCTTTAGATGAGTTAGAGATACAGAGAAAGTGCATCTTTATGCAGATGATACAGTGGTATATTTAGTTGTATCTTCTCCAGACTCCCCTTCAGTAGATGCATGCCTAGTTATACGTAGAGGTGTTTCATACCACTCTGTCCTTCCTGTTAAAGAGTTATTTACCTTAGCTATAACTTCTAGTTCTACCAAGTGTCCCTCAGGCACCAGTAGGATTAAAATCATACAGATTGTTAATGTGTTTTGTTGTGTTTGCCGAACGTTTCATCCTTTGTTAGCAATGGACTGTAGTTGTTTGTTATCACATGGTTATTTGACTGAAACCTGTTGATTACTGATACACTTTACCTCATTAGGCTAAATTGGAGGTTTATAGCGATACAACACAGGTATCAGTTTTGGGACTAGTTGTTAACATGGTCCAAAGATGTTTCCTAACTCTGAGAAGAACAAACTCTTTACAGCTTGCTCCCAGATTTCAGATAATGCTGCCATTCCCACTTAACCGGGTAATTCAATTTAAAGGGAATCAACCTTTGAGAACCTCAGCATTTGAATGAATCACAGGCTTTCTTTTGAAATGCAAACTAAGAACCAAGTGAACAAACTGGCAGACTGTTTTTCACTACGTACATCGGCTCTGCCTTTTCGAAGCAGTTCATCAAAGACTTAAACGGGCTACATTCCCAAGTATTAAAGATGATGGCTACATTACTCACAAGCATGTTGCTTCTTCTTTCACACAGTTCATTGCCTGGATTCAGTTTATCAGATTGGGTTACATTTTCTGTCCAGCTAATTTTCCATGCCCTTTATTATGCATTTGTATTTTTTTTTTAATTTCCAAAGCCAAACTGGGTAAACTCCTTTGACATCTGTATAATCTCTTACCACTCACCAACAGCTGTTAGGATTTCCGCTCCACTAGATGGCTGCTTTACCAGGTACCCAGAATTTGCTCCGAATTCGGGAGAGCAGCTTTTCCATTTTTTGGGACTTCAGCTTAACAATGTTATCAACCTCAGAGAGGTCAAAGCTCTGATAAAATATGTAACACAAGAATGCAGTTGCTATTCAGAAACTTTGTTTTTCCTCGTCTGTTTTTTACATGCTCAGTTCTCCTCCTTCTATTATCTGTCTTTTCTTGATATGATTCATTTTATGTGATGTTGTGTCATGGTTTTTGATCTCAAAGGACTTCCTGATTAATTATTTATATTAAATGATTCAATCACAAGATGATAAACTCTTGGTTATTATCACTCGTGGACTCTTCTCAAACACAACTATTTGGGCAGACTTTAAAAATGTGTGTTCCTTTGTTCTTCAGGCTCCTCTTTTTATACAGCACTGTAGGCATTACAGCTCTTTTTTTGTTTTGAACCCTGTTCTGTAATGGTTGTCTCAGAAAAAGAAATACTGACTTTCACAGCCATACTTAAAATATGAACCCTGCACTTCTTTTTCCAGGTTTTTAACAGGACCGACCAATCTCAAAGATCCAGAAGCCAAGTTCCGATTTCCAAAAATCTTCGTGAGCACAGAGGACGGCTACGAGGAGCTGCATCTGATTGTTTATAAGGTAAAAAAAAAAGTGATCTGCTAGTTCAGGAACGTGTACACAAGTAATCAGTCCTTTCTAGGACAACGTGTTTCATGTTTTAAAAGAGGAACAATTTTATTTTTATAAACTGTGACTGCAGGATTTGTGTTTGAACAGCTGATTAAAGATGTCATTTTCCACCGCTCAATAAAATGATATAGACTTTAGGGATTAAAGAGCTGAATTTTTAAAATGATGAAGCCGCTCCCAAAATGTTTACCATCACAGTAATGTCATTTCTAACCTGTGTGACCTGAGTCCACATTTAAACAGCTTTGATCTGCTCTCTTACAGGCAATGAGTGCAGCAGCCTGTTTTATGGTCGATGGTAAGCACCGACCACCACAACAGATGGATGGAACTTCCATTTTCACTATTTTTTGCTATTCTTCTTGATATGTTTCAATTTCACAGTTTGTATACATCTAAAATAGGACTCTCCTGTCCTCTTCTTGCAGCCTCTGTGGAGCTGACGAGGGACTTCTGTGAGCAGTTAGACGGCTTGGTGGGCCCTCAGCTTACTCTGCTGGCATCTGACATATGTGAACAGTTCACCATTAACCGCAGGATATCAGGGTCAGTAGAGAAAATCCACCACACCCCTTAAATGACAACTCACTGACACACACCGTGTGATTACTGAGGCTCAGATTGTGTACACAGTTCTTGATGTCTTGATACTTACTGTGCTCATTTTGTTTAAATGGTTTAACAGTGTTTGATATTTTCATTACAGTAAGGATACACAACAGACATAAAAGTTATTATATATGTATAGCTACTTCTTAAATCAATTATTTTTCAAGTAAAATGTGCCAAATATCCCCAAATGGAGCCTCTTTATTGGACGAATGTTCTTGTTTTATTGGTTTTATTCGCTAAAAATGTTTTTATGTTGACATTAAGTCAGATACTTGGTTAGAAAAGAAGCAATTTCATGACATCACTATGAGGGTGCTGAAACTGTGATGGGCATTGTTTTTAAATCCAAATGATCAATCTGTGGATTGAGGTAATAATCCAGAGATTTATCCATAGTAAATAAAAAATCGTTAGTTGCATTCTGGTGAAGAATCGGAGCAGCTGCAGCATAAAGAGCTGTGACAGTATCTCTGTTATTGTTTGTCATCAGTTTGCAGACAATCCTTTTGTGTGCAGCTCTGCCTGGCTGGCAGTGATAGATGACACTCTGGCACCATGTGATATCATTGGGGCACACTACTTAGATGTAACCCAAGCAGGGTAGCTGTAAAGGCCTCAGACCTGCATCCTGGTCTGCTGTCCCTGAAACCCTGGCCATTAGCTATGGAGACGTCCTCGCCTGTAATCCAAGACCGGACTCCCCCGGCCCAGATAATGTGATGGGCTCCTTTTTAATCACGCTACGGAAGAATCCTCTGAATAAATAATAACGTCCCAAAATCCTCAGCTCACATTCATGCCTTTGCCCTGATTTGGTCTTCTGGGACTGTAAATTAACAGCAAAGATAGAAGTCAGCATGCATACACACTCTTCTAGCAATTACAGCACTGTTGTCAGGTTAGCTGTGGTAATTACTCCTTGTATGATTCCCCTTACCAAGGAGGACAGCAGAGTGTCATTTATTTACATTTATTAACAAATGCATTGATCATTTTCTGTCCCCTCAGGCCGGAAAAGGAGCCCCAGTTTAAGTTCATCTACTTCAACCACATGAACCTGGCGGAGAAGAGCACCATCCACATGAGGAAGACCGCCAGCGTCTGCCTCACCTCCGTCCATCCCGACCTCATGAAGATCCTGGGAGACATCAACTGCGACTTTGCCAGGTGCCGCAGAGAACGCAGGCTTTTTAAATCTGTAGCTGTATCTGTATCTTCACCACATGCCTCCAGACATTTATTTACAAGTTTTCACAGTGACTGACCACAAATCAGCACAGTGGCTTCCAATTAAAAGAAAGAAAAAAGTGGAGTGTGAAAATATGCTGAACTAAGAAGCCTCAACCTTTCTCACATGATTTGAAAACAGTTTTGTCTTTTTCATAAGTAATGTGATGCCCCGGCTATCTTGTAAACTCACTTATCTATTCAAACAGTCATGAGACTGTAGTCGTCATGTGACAGCCCTGTTTTCAGTCTGCAGGGCATGCTGTGGCTGTGGCATCCACACATAGAGCACACACGGATCATTTGTTCCAGGAGCGAGATCAGTTCCTCTTTATGTGCAGATGCTGCCCTCAGCTCAAAGCAAACCCACAGTGCTATTTCTGTCATAAGATATTTGGGTGTTTTCAATGTTAAAGGGATACTTCACCCATTTGCATTAAGCTTTGTATCATTAGAAACCTAAAAGTATTTTTGAATGGTCGTGCATCCGGCCCTCATTTTCCCCTGAGATGGGAAAGCTCTGTATTTCTTGTCTGAAAAGGAGCCGCCGATGATGCAAAAATCGTCATTTTGCATCATTGGAGGCTGCTTTGGTTAGAGGGGGTGAAACGACATCGCTAGTTCCTCATGTTTTCAACCCGCCCATAGGGGGGTGGGACCCAGTGAAGCTACAGACCTATTACAGATCAGTGGGTGGGACCTCACTCCCAGAATCTAAAAGCAGCGTCCACCATCTTGCTTGGAAGCTATGCTAACAGGCTCTGTTTCAACTTCAAACTGATATGGATGAAGGGGGTTTTGAAGGTCTTGTGCTCTAATCAGATGTTCGTGGCTATCTCTACGAGTCGCGATATAGCGGCGAGCTGTTGAGGCTGATGGAGGAACAGGAGGGGGCTGTGCATTCTGGGAGTTGTTGTCTTTCATCCACATGAGCCAAAAAGACACTTTCTGCCTTTTCTCGGTCAAAAAGGCACCAACTTCATGTATTTCACATTTCTACTACATATATGACCCAATGTCAATACAGATTCATGTTTCAACAGGTGAAGTATCCCTTTAAACGTAGTGTTTTGTATACAGTAACTTAACAGCCTGACGGTCATTTTTTGATGAAAACGTTCAGAAATATGCAAATGTCAGGGCTTTTTGTATGACGTGTTGATGTACATGTTGGTAAATACATAATGCTGAATAAGAGTGGCCCACAAATACAGTGAGAAACATGCTGTAAATGTGATAACTACCCTTATTTGATGGTGCTAATTACACTCTATCTGTCTCCCAGGGTGGATGAAGATGAAGAAATCATCGTTAAAGCTATGACAGACTACTGGGTAGTCGGTAAGAAGTCAGACCAGAGAGAACTATATGTGATCTTGAATCAGAAAAACGCAAATCTGATTGAAGTTAACGGTGAGTCTGCACCCCCTGTGTATGAGTAAAACTGTGTCCTTATGGCCAAAATAGATACTCCATGTTTATGTCTCCATTCCTAATCGGTGCCTCACCCTTTATGCCCTTTTGTCTTTTCCCCGCTGCAGAGGAGGTTAAGAGGCTTTGTGCGACGCAGTTCAACAACATCTTCTTCTTGGACTGATGCAACAGACACACAGACTGTTTCGGCACACTAAAAACTGTCATTGTTGCAGGGTACAATGACAGCATCAGTGTAATGCAATAATTGCATTGTAATATAAGAAAAAAAAAGAAGCTTTCTCACCAAGTTTTTTTTAATTTAACCTATAAGAATTGTAATTTTCTCTTGTAATTAAGTGTAAATCCAGATTTTTACTGTACATGTACTTTATTTTCTGTCATTTTTCTTTGTACATATTTGTAGAATTTTGTTTACTCTTGCATTCGATTTCTTTCAGCAGTTTGTTCATGCATTTTTTTTTAATGAACACATCATGACAATGTCTGAAGTTAATTTAAACAACACGCACAGAACAGTAACTCCAGGTTCATTGATGATCAGAGATAGTTTTCAAATAAGATGTCATCATTTCAAAAGTATTGTAGTTTATTAAGGACTGCACTTACTTTAAATAAATTAAGAAGTAATTTGACCAAGTGTAAGACATGTCTTTTTTTTGTGTTAAAGATCCACATCGAGTAAAAGCTAAGGACAACCTGCAAATAGTTTTAGATGTAGTACTAGTACTAGCCATTATTTTCATCTGACATCTGACTCCTTTTCCCAAACAAAATCATGGCATTCTAGTAGATCAAGTTCTAGACATACACTGTGTAAGATTGTTACAAGGTGGGGATTTGTTGTGATCATTCTGCTGCTAAAGTAGGAAAAGATTCAAAGATGTAATTTGAGGGCTAACTTAGATATTCTAGTTTAATGTTTGAAGTTTTGAAATGATAGATGATTTTTAACATATTCAGTAACAGAGAAAAATACTGTAAAGAACTATGAAATATATATATAATTGGCATCCAAACATTTTATCCAATTTGTCAATATGCCCTCTTGCTTTGCCAGGACTGTAAATCACAGATTGTACAACAAATAAAACTGATAAAATCAAGTCTCTGTCAGAAATACTCTTCTCAGTAAGATAGACTTGTTAAAAAAAAAACTAATTTGAAATTATGCTTATTTTATTTTATTAATTTGCACTGGAGTGGAAAAAAGAGAAACAAAATAATTTAAATCAAGGATGTCAGACATACTAGACGTTTTGGGAAGAAGGAGGAAATGTATTGAAAAATATTTTGAGATTTTTTATAAATTAAATATTTGTAATACGTATTTTCCCCGAATTGTATTAAAACCTATAATGAGCAACGTAAAGGTTGATATCATGATAGGAATATTAATGAAACGGGGCACTTTGAACTATTTTCTCAGCAGGGAGCATCACGAGCTGCTCCTGCATTACGCTGGTAATACATCACATCAGAAAACAGGCTGAACACCTGAGACAGGTGACACAGAATGCAGGTTTTCAAGAGAGATCGAAGGAGCGATATTTCTTTAGTTTTACTCTGCTGCACTGCGCGCGCATCCTGGCGGTCTTCGGTTCTGTGCACACTTCTTACCAGTTTCTCCTGTCTTCACTGATGGAAAACAAAAGTTTGGCTGATAATAACAAAGCTTCCTATGGAGTGAGCCACAAAGAGCAGCTCGTTCAAATAAAAAACAATCATCTCTGTCCTGTGTAACGGCCCAGACCGTCTCCACACATCCAGACGTTGAGCCTGATGCATCTCCCGACTAGTTTTACCTCTGCTTATTGTAAAAACAGTAAATTAAAATGAATAATAACTGATTGTATTTACAGATGGTTCATTTTTAGGTCACCCAGAGGTGAACGTGTTGATCACCTAAAAGTTTCAGCGTGACATCACTTCTAAATGCAGTAGACTGCTGTTGCGCCTTTATCACCAGCTTTAATCAGACTGTAAATATATAACTATTACTGAACATTTCATTCTTATCTGAAAACGATATCACGCACAGGCTGTCCGATCATACAGAGGTCTGCTGGTTTAACCGTGGAGCAGCGCTAAAATGCTTCCTTGAATTGCGCACGGAGATGACACAGATTGATGGCGCATAAAAAGTCAGTGACAGAGTTAGATCACGATAGTGCGGACACGGAGAAGAACGGACAGCCAGACTCATATGAAATGTCGTTTAACTGAGTTTACTTAGTTGAAGAAGTTGAACTCCACACGGAGCTGATCAGACTGCAGCGATCAACGCTGAAGGATCAATTCAAGTCTGTTGGTTTGGAAACATGTTATCATTTTATAATGCCTCACACTAAAATACCCGAAGATGCATCAAAGACACTCTGTGTGTTTGTGACAACTTATTCATGTGAGCAGGTTTTATCTGTAATGAACCTTAACGAGTGCAAACTGTGCTGTGGCCTGACACACACACATCTAAAGAGTCTCTCTCTCTCTCTCTCTCTCTCTCTCTCTTTCTCTCCCCCCTCTCTGTCTCTCTCTCTCTCTCCCCCCCCCTCTCTCGCTGTCTCTCTCTCTCTCTCTCTCTCTCTGTCTCTCTCTCTCTCCCCCCCCTCTCTCTCTGTCTCTCTAATGCACTGATCCCAGGGCAGGTAGAATAACCTGTGTCAAACTTTCTACAACCTTGAACAGCAATATTAAAACATAATATAATAATCTCAAACAAAACATAATTATTGATGTTGTCTTCTGTAATGTGGTACATTTAAACATTTCCATATGCCAACATGCAGTTTGCAATGACAGAGTTAACCCCTCTGCTTAATGTTAATGTTAAAGTTTTCTATACAATCATACCTTAGCCTATATATCTATGTGTTGAGTTATAATGATGTTGGCAAAATTAGTCCGGCCCACTTGAGGTCTCATTTGAACAAATCCACCCCCCCGACCCAATAGAGCTCTGACATCCCTGATTTAAATGTTTGACAATAATAATAAATAAAACCATGATAATTTGGATGGTTTTGTATAGTTACAACCATTAAACACATATCAGCTTATATTGAGAATAAACATCCCTATCAATACGATGTGACGGATAAAAAAAACATCACAAAACATGAGACGAATTCAACAGAGGAAGCTTCTTGTTGCGAAGTGTTAAATTTACACGGCTCTACTACTCTATTCCAGACTAGGGGGCAGTATCAAATCATTCTGCCACACAAAAACAATCAGAAGAAGAACAACAACCAATCGGCGCTCACCACTCGCTCTGATTTCCAGCCAATCAGCGTCGCCCAAGAAGATTTTCAAACCTCACCCGCCATGATTGTTGTGTTGTTCAGGCTGAAATAGTTCAGCTCGTCCGTCGTGCAGTGAGATTTGTTATTTTCTGGACGCAAAGAAGAGGAAGCTTGTTTGTTTAACGTCGTTTTAGGAATAAAAGAAAGGTAAGACGGATGTTATATTATACTTGGGCTAATTAGCCTTACAGGATATCTGGCAGGTAACTAAACGGTTAGTTTGTGTCTTCCTTTAGTTAACTGTGTTACCTGTTAACATTACATCACTGTCGTTAATTCACCGTGTTTAGTTAACTGTGTTACCTGTTAACATTACATCACTGTCGTTAATTCACCGTGTTGAAGTTTTACTGGCTCCAGTTTGATAACTTTATACCAGTGAGTGGTGGAAATGAAAACAAACATTAAGGCCTAGAAAACATTACAGCTCTATTTAGTACCAGATGTGGCATTTCTGTTTTAATCCATCTTTATAACGTTATTAGTTATTGTTTTGTGAATCATATCGTTGGCCACTTTATCTCTATAAGTTCGCCTCGACGTTTTCTGTATTTTGATTGTGTCTATAACATACAAACGTCAAATATCTGTAACCTTAACTAGAGACGAGACACACCTCCAGAGTTAACGCTGTTTCCTTTACACTCAAGAAGTTTGACTTTAAATGAAACTATTATATCAAGCGTTAACGGAGGTGGGTATGATCATTTAGTTTGGATATTTAAGTAGATTGCTTGTATGTAATTTTTAGACAACCTGCTTTTTTTAGTGTCCTGAGTGGTAAATGCCCTTTAGGACACGTTGGAGTCCTGAATAGTGAGTTCCAGTTACCATACCAGTTGGTTAAGACTGCCCACAGTTCAGTGAATATGAACAGTTATCCTCAAACCTGAGCTACAGGGTCCTATGTGTTAATGAAGTCAGACTGAAACACTCTTGTGTACACCGTTAGATCCTGAAATTGAGTTTAAAGCTTAATCCTGGATCAAACGTTCATTTCTGAGGAGCTTTAAATATTTGTTTGGTGTTTGAACTGTTGCATCAAATGTGTGTATCTATCTCTGTATGAGGTCTTTTGTTTTTATGTTGTTAAGGGTGTAGTGATGCAAGTCACAGTTCAGACTTAGTCCTATCAATCAGAACTCACATTATTTTCATTCCAGCCTCGGTTCAAGATTCTTAACGTATTTTAACACCCTGTTGAGATTAGTTTCTCATTTGTATGCGTGTACATCCAGAGTTATGCACTTTCAACAGCTGCTTAACGACACATCTTCTGTTCACCTCCCCGCTAAATCTAGATACCTGAACATGGACTCTCGATTTGCTCACCTGCGACAGCGGGACACCAGTGTGTCGATGCTGAGGGTAAAACTGTCCCGCAGGAGGTCTCAGTCCCAGAAGGAGAACCGTGACCGGGCTGTGAACTCTCGAAGACAGCTTGACCAGGTCCCGGAGCTCGACGTCTCATCACTGGATGCCTCCATCGCAATGGCCAACATGTCGATCATACAGGAGAAGACTCTGAACAAGACAAAAGTTGCCAAAAGTAAGGAGTCAGTTTCCATTGCATCTTTAAAATTAAAAAAAACTACATTTACACTGATCCTACTTCTTCAGGTTACAGCAGCTATCAGTGTGTTCCTTTTGAAAAGATGTACAATAGGAAAATGTAGTATTTGAATGCAGCAATTTTACTTATTTGTGCCCCCACACCTGTTTCCCTGCAGACGTGGCTGTAGAGGAGAGACTGAAACAGCTTGAGAGATGGAAGGAGCGTAAGGCTCTGGAGAAGGAGAAAGAAAGGAGAGAACTTGAGCGGAAAGGGGTTTTCAAGACCGGCGTTTATCATCCTAAGGACACCTTTGTCGTTGGCTCTCTGCCCCTGGTCCCAGGCGCCTCAACCAGAACTAAGGAGGTGAGAGAGGAACGAACTGGTTTACTCTATTTACAAAAGATGGTGACAAGAGTTATTACAAGAATGAAAGCTCTCTGGTGCTGGGTACATTTGAATGACTGTGTGATCAACTTTTTTTTTACTTTCAGACAAAGTTACACATGGCTCCACCCCAGAGTACCAGAGTGACCCGGTCGATGAAGCAGCAGCAGGAAGTGCAAAGGGTACAACTTTATCTGGCATGCCTCACAAACCTGCTCTCTTATTACCTTTTATGAAAACCAGATGCTAACATACACTTTGTTTTTCTGCAGCCTCTGAAGCTGCAAGATCCAAATGCTTCAAGAAAAGGTAAATGATTATTGTTTTTATTTTAAATGAAGCGGCCCCAATTCTGTTGAATATTAGATCAAAACCTCTCGGTCCTCCTGTAGCTCAACCTGCTGCGGAGAAATCGAACCGGACACGGGCAGTTACTGCGAAGACCGCGCCGCCTGCGACCAAGACCAAAGTGTGTGCAGGTAACTAATGAGAAGGAAATCCTGGCCCCCTGACTGGGTCTGTAGATTAGCTATCGTGTTGGTTTCACCCGATAGTGTTTCCTGATTTGCATCTCAATCTGTGCCTCTCTGCCATCCTGCCGTAGTGGAGCCTGTTGTACGAGCCTCCAGATCAGCCAGCAGGCCTCCTGTTACAGCTGCTCCGGCAGTGAAAGACAAACCCAAGGACACGGCTGCAGGTACACACCGAGACACAGCAACTTTTTTTTTTAATAAGCATAAAACTTTAAAGTCACCAGAGATACTGACTAAAAACAGCCGGATTCTGTAGCTCATCAGAAAAAAAAAGATAAAACATTTTGAATGTCTCCTTGTACTCAGATGTTAGAAGCACAAGAAGCAGA